GTGCGTTTCTTTCCAGTGCATTTAGTGAAAACTCGGTCGCTGCACTTCCGAATATCCGGGCTTAGACGGGTGCCGTCCTCGAAACCCTAAGTTTTACCCTTTGGGACGTGACTGTAGCCATTCGCCGTTTTCGTCAATCTCACAGTTCAGGACCAGATAGCATCCCAGTCAGCCCTCTAAAGGCTGAAGCAAATAATATTTTTCCGCCTCTTCTGTGTACGTTGTTCAACCTTATTCTTGAAAGCGAAAACTTTCCTATGTTGTGGAAGGAATCGCACATACTGCCTATTCCCAAGCACGGCCGATCGACGTCTATCGACAATGTTAGGCCAATAAATACACTTTCCGCTGCCTCTAAGGTCTTGGACACCTTGATGAAAGAAAAGCTGATGCCTCATTTGGCAGTGAACAACCTACTTAATGCAGCTCAGCATGGTTTCGTAGAAAAAAGATCCTGTGACCCCTGCCAGCTCTCTTACTTTGATGGTGTGCTTCAATATAGAGACAGTGGTTTGGCCCTTTATGCTGTCTATTTTGACTTCACTAAGGCATTCTATCGTGTTGAGCATAATCTCATCCTTCTCGAACTTGCTTCTTGCGGCATAAGTAACAAATTCCTGAATTTGGATACTCGAACACAACGAGTTAAAATTTCCTATGTCATCTCTAACCCCAAACATCTGAGGAGTGGTGTTACTCAGGGTAGTGTGCTTGGACCGCTCTTATTTTGCCTTTTTTCAAAGACGTTTCTGATTGCTTTCAGTATGGTAGACCCTTAATGCACGCTGACGATTTAAAAGTCGACTAACAATATAAAACGGCAAATCGCAACATGGCGCTCGAGCTCATAAAAGACGATCTTTAAGCCTTTGCCCAGTGGTTCTGCACATGGCGCCTCTCCCTTTCTTGGCACAAATTTTTCATTTTGGTTGTTGGCGACGATCATCAGCCCGACTTAAGCTTAGATGGTCACGATCTACATGTGCCAGGCATTATTATGGATCTGGGCCTATCCTATTCTAATAGTCTCAATTTGTCAGAGCACTGAGCCTTGATTGTCTCGAAAGCACGCCGAACTACTGGATTCATTCTCAGAAATTGTAAGACCGTAAAGGTTAGAACTAGCCTTTTTAATATGTACATGAGACCTAGTCATGAATACTGTTCACTCCTATTTAGCCTTGTGCGCACTAGTGAACGGAATAAAATAGAATCGGTCCAGAAATTCTTCACTAAAAGGGTATTCTCTTCAGACCACCGCAGCCTGTCCTACCAACAACGTTGTGAACTTATTTACATCGATCTCTTGTGGCTTCGCGGATTACAGAGGGGACTATTTTTACTGTTTAGACTTTTAAAAGGCCGTACCTTAAGTCCCCTCAGTACCATAAGGCAGCTAGATCACTTTCGGCGCGCCAATCATCGAGATGTGTTTTTATATCTTCCTATGGCACGCAGAGTTAGATACCGTACAATTTTTTACGTTAACGTCATACCAATCTGGAATAAGCTGCCCAGAAGTATTAAAACTCAGCAAAGTTGTCCACTGTTTAAGAGAGCTGTCACTAGTTTTCTACATTCGGGACAGCTTTCAAGAATTTTGGGTGCTGACTCGGTGGAATCCCTGTTTCACTTTGATGGCGTTTGTGAACTTTGAACCCAGCCAGGCCTCACGCTGAGGATAATGGTGCTGAAAATGCGGCCCGCAATTGGCTTATTCTTCAGCCGACTGCGAGCCACTGTGAACCGATAAACATTCCGCTGGTGCAAAATCTCGGAACCATTACACTCAACGAATACTGAGAACACTGTGTTCCTGCATTTTTTTTTCTGCTACACTTTCAGCCTCGAAAGAAGTAGAAACCCAAAAGGAACTTGTTTTTGCTGACGAACACCCCCTTAAAACCGCCCTCGGATTGTTCTGCAGTAATAATAAGGTTTATTTGTAAAGCACATCTTGGGCGCCGTCAAAAACCCCGGAAGGCAGTACAGAATAACGCAAAAGTCGTGATATGCGCGATCAGGAAAGACTTTGGGATTTTGATGAAGTTCTCTTACCTAAGATTTTCGTACCGTTTGGGAGACCCCATTTGGAATATGCTATAGAAGCCTGGGGTCACTGGGCAGCTAAGGGTCAGAATATTTTTGATGGAGTTCAAACAAGAGTAACCAAAATTCAAAGGTCCTTGCCATAAGCAAATCGTCTAACATACCCTAAGCCTAAACTGTGCATGTATCACCCTGTTCTACGGTTACCACTCAGTAAGCCAGTCAGTATATTTGAGGGAAAAATAGGCTTGCGCCTTTGAATTCCCTATTTATAGGCTTGCACCTTTGAACTCCCTATTTGTCACATCAAAATCTCAAGAATTAATAATTAATGTTAAGAAGTTTTCAGTCAAAAAAATATAGACCGTGAAATGGTGCTGTGGTGTTTCAAGGTTAATTTGTCATATAATCCATGTTGTGTTGTAGCATGTGTATATCAATTCGGTGTTTGAATGTCTCCACAGAT